TGCAGGAATGTGGATGCGATTGTTCAAAGTGCAAATCAAGGTAAAACATTTTTTTATCAATCACTTTGTATTGATGAGTTTACAAGCTTTAGCTTAWAAGATTTTAWTGATATTTTTTTTCACGCAGCGAGGAATGCATTATATTAAGGGAAGAAATAGCAAAGCTTTGTAGAAAGCTCAATAACAGCGAGCAACGAAATCAGGAATTGGAAATCGAGTTGTCAAATTTACACCGATCGAGAAAAGAAGACGAGGAGAAAAGAGATGAAAGCATCGAGTCGTACGTGGAACAAAACAAACGGTAAATAGATGTTGATGGCAATACAACGATTTTAGTATTTTCATGGTAACGGCTGTGATGGTGATAATGCCTCTTATAATTGCTTCTGACCATATATAGCATTGACGATGTAGGTTTACTGTTTGTCATAAAAGATGGCAAAGGCAAAGTTGATAGATGATGATGTAATGGTAGTGATGGTAGTGATAGTAATGGCGATGGCTGAGAGATAAACATCATGTTATATTCCAAACGACTGGCAAGAAAATGGACATGTTAGGCAGGTGATGATGTTGATGCCAAAGATGGTTAACAGATGATTACAATTATAATGATGCTTTTGATAATGGCGATGGTAATGTTGGTAGCCACGAATTTTCTGATGATAGTAAACGATGTGTTTCTCTATCCACAGACTGAGAGAGGTCTACGAGGATGCCTTGCAACAAAATCAAGACCTTGAAAGTCGGATCTTAAGTTTGGTAAGTATTTACAGTATTGGTTCTCCGATCATRATCATTATTATCATGCTATCGTTAGTCTAGGATCACTAAACGGTTGACCGATCAAGTTATTAATTCGTGAATAATTTTTGATTCTTTGTACAGGCCGACGAGCTGCAAGCAGAGAGAGCGAGGTTTGACGAAGCCTTGATGACGATGACTGAACGTCTTGTAGACGCCACAGAGAAAATGAATAAAATGGAAGCGCAAATGGTGAGATAATAATCRACGGCGGCAAAAGTGACTGTCTTAGCTTTAGATCATCATGAGGTTCAAGCGCCATGCTCATGGTTTARACTTTCTGTCCTTTTTTCACTGGGATATTTGTAAAATAAGGTGATACAGATATCCATCTGTGTTCAATCCATCAGTTTAAAGATCGAATCTCACAATAGCATTGTGACAGTATAAAGGGATAATATACAGCAAGTTTTGCTTATATCTTGGGATGTCTTTTTATTTTTAAACATCAAAAAAATGCTCGAAAGGGGTTCCGGTTGACCATGGCCCTGCAAGTAAAGGGGGCAATGGCTAATTATGAGAGCGGTAATCATGCATATTGCGGCGGTAACGATAAAAATAAAGATAAACGGATGGCATACGAGTAATGAGCTTTTGATGACGTTGAGATGATTATAATTGAGGTATTGTTGATTATTGATGATGATGGTATACGCGACCAAGTACACTATTTCGTACTTATCAGGAGTAACATTCTATTCAGGTCAAAAGTCGGAAGGATTGTGCGTTGGTTGTTCAGCTCCTAAAATGTAACCAATCTGTGGACAAGCACTTCGTCACTCGTCAAGTAAATTTGGTAAGTTTTTCAATGAGACCTATACTAATATAGTTATCAACTATTGCGTGCCGTTGTACTTTGAACTTTATCGTAATTTTGGCATATTTTTCCCCTTTAGTTTCCATCCGAATTGAAAAAGAAGATAAAAGAGGAGCTTGACTGGAAAGATATCACACATGGAATCACAAACGGGAATTTTAATAAACCACGYTCTAAAACAACCACTGAACTGGAGACCGTCAGTAATGCTAAGCCTTGCTCGTGCATCAAACGATCMATGCATCCCATGAGGCGTAGCAAGTCTGTAACATTCAGTACACCGCTGGTCAGTGATGCCGTCGTACAAAACGGCGTACACAAGGGGTGAACATAACCTTTGCATTGTAAAGGCTGGCAGATTTTACTGTTTTGATGTATTTTTGYGGAATTTTGACACGTTCAAGATATTTAAGGATAAAAGAGAACTTTTWATGCATGCAACTGATTTCTTTCGTGACTGGGTTATTCTCTGGGTTGGRCGAGAGTAGCCTGGAGATGAGTCTACATRGATACTTTGGYTYATTGATTGGCTAGTTTGTTATAGTCACACTGATTGGATCTACTGAGTGCACGATTAGTATTTTTATATATACTTAGCATTAGACTTTTAAATATTATAATCTAAAATTGATGAATGTATATATTATATATGATAGTCAAACGATTGTAAAATTGAAATTTTTATAGATTTAATGAA